GGGCCGTGGAGCAAACCCCCATCACAGCATCCCTGGCAGTTGCCTCCAGCAGCGTGCGGAGCCTGCGCGCCAGCCTGTGCTTTACCCACTTCCACACCCATTCCACGTGGATTTAACCATTTAGCTGCCCGCGATACGCTAGCGCTACACCGATGTTTCGGCAGCTTCCCATCCACCCCATCCCTGCTGGAAGTGTCACATCTACCAGGCTCAACCACATCTACCAGGCTGAACCACATCTCCCCTTTCACCCCACAGCACCTCCCCTTCCCCTGAGTCAGCTGCAGCAAAGACCATCCCATTTCTGGTGAGAATAAGGTTGTTTTTGCAGCCAGACCCTCCTCGTGGCAAGAGCTGCGAGGATGCGCGGCAGCGACAGACCACACGGCAGCGTCCTCACCCCCTCCAAGGGTTCCTTGATGTTCGGAAATCTCTCCCTTAACGGGTCCCAGCGACCTTGAGGTCTCAGCAAAGCTTTCCAGGCTTTCCAGCATGCCCAGTCCAGATGCTCAGAGGGGAAGGTCAATGAGAGAATGTGATTTTTTCCAGCCAGGACATGAGGGTCAAGCGACTTTAGTGTGCTTCCACCGGAGCGGGATGTTTGGCTGAGCTGAAGGGACAGGACCATTGTGTCACCTCCAGGGATGCAGGTGGAAACTGTCCACTGAGCAGGAATATCTGCTCCCTCTAGTGGCATCTGGTTTTTAATTTTTATTTTATTTTTAAAGCTAGGAGACCTGGTATCTGCTCCGTGCCAGCCCCCGGCAAGGCCAAGGCTACGAATTGCCGGGGCTGAAAGGACACACAGCCCTCCAGCAGCCAGGAGCAAATCCACCCCGTGGCTGGCGTGCTCTCCTCTACCTGCAAAGCCAGCAGAAGGTTTCCACGGGTTAAGCCTTTCTATTTGAGAGCCCAGGTGCAGTCCTCTCTCCTCCCACCCTACCCAGCAGCTTTGCATCCCATAATACACCTGCCTAGCCCAAGCACTGGAAAAGGAGAGAGAACGTGTGGGTGGAGGACAGGAAGGATTAGTGACCTGCAGTGTCCACACTAGCTTCTGCGGTCCAGCATGCAAGCGCCGTGGGGAATGGACCTTCCCCCAGGAAGCCACTGATCCTGCACGTGTTCCTGCAGCAAAGCCCAGGGGGATTAAAACCCACCCACTCGCTCGCCGTTAACCCTTCACGCTGCTTCAGGAACAAGCTCCTGCTTCACCAACCGTCTCCTGGGCTGCATCCAAAGCAGCGTGGCCAGCAGGTCGAGGGAGGGGATTCTGCCCCTCTGCTCCGCTCTGCTGAGACCCCCCCTGGAGCACTGCGTCCAGCTCTGGGGTCCTCAGCACAAGACAGACACAGACCCATTGGAGCGGGTCCAGAGGAGGGACACGGAAATGATCAGGGGGCTGGAACAGCTCTGCTGTGGAGAAAGGCTGAGAGAGTTGGGGTTGTTCAGCCTGGAGAAGAGAAGCCTTCGGGGAGATCTTATTGAGGCCTTTCAATACTTAAAGGGGGCTTCTAAGAAAGATGGGGACAGACTTTTTAGTAGGGCCTGTAGTGATAGGACAAGGGGTAATGGTTTTAAACTAAAGAAGGGTACATTCAGACTAGATATAAGGAAGAAATGTTTTACGCTGAGGGTGGTGAAACACTGGCAGAGGTTGTCCAGAGAGGTGGTGCCAAAATCCAAAATCAGCCCTCCAAGGTCATCCCATCTGCCCCATCCCTGGAAACATTCCAGGTCAGGTTGGACGGGGCTCTGAGCAACCTGATCTAGTTGGATGTCCCTGTGCTTATTGCAAGGGTATTGGACTACATGACCTTTAAAGGTCCCTTCCAACCCAAACTATTCTATGTTTCTATGATTCTAAGGAGGAGGAAGAGGAGGACGAGGCAACAGGAAGCAACAGGAGGCAACAGTATGATAAGGTACAGGAGGAAATAGGAGGCAAGAGGAGGAGGAGGAGGCAACAGGAGGAAACAGAAGGCAATAGGAGTAGGAGGAGAAGAACGCAACAGGAAGCAAGAGGAGGCAACAGAACAGGAGGAGGACGACGAGGAGGAGGCAACATGAAGGAACAAGAGGAGGAGGCAACAGGAGAAGGAGGAGGGGAGGTGGAGGAGGAAACACTCCCATATTTCCTCTAGATTTTAAGCACATCAAAACTCAGGGCGGAAGCAATTCAGAAAATCCAAGCCTATTGCTGAAAGGGGGGTTGGACTAGATGACCTTTAAAGGTCCCTTCCAACCCAAACCATTCTGTGATTCTATGATTCACAAAGCTCTGGAGTGGGTGCAACGGGCTGCTACCGCCCATGGGAGCGCTGAGGACCATGCCTTTCACCGACCTCCAGGTTCCTCCTGGAGCTGCCGTGAGGTCTGGAGAAGACTTAGTGATGGGGAGTTTAAAAAAAGAGAGAGAAAACAATGTTCCCATGGGCAACTGGGACCAGTTCAGCCCAAGGCCTGGGAGCACCGAGCAGCTCATTTGCCAGCCGTGAGACGAGCTGTTGGCCGTCCCCACCAGGGAGAGGTGGAAAGTCCATCCCAGGTGCTCACTGTGTAAAAAATGGAGCTGCAGGGGTAAATACCTGAGAAAGAAACAGAGTCCCTGAGCCCAGCCTGCTGCAACATGGAGCGCTCCCCCGAGGGGAGCATGTTATGAAACAGCAACTGCAATCCTTGAAACAAAACCCGATGATTCTGGTCTGCACACCCCAAAACAGGCTCCAACAGTGGTCGCTCCCGTTCCTCGTGCCCAGGATGTCTTCCCCTGCCCATCCAAACTCAGGCATGGCAGATGGGATCCCTCCAAGCAAGGACAAGTGCCGGGAACCCCTCCGGGCGTGATGCAGGCAGCACCTCATTTATTTCTCTTGATGCTTGGCATCATCTACGCAGCTTGCAAGAAGGACACATGCTGGGACAGGCCACATGCAGGAAGGCAATAAACCACCTGCAGCTCAGCAGCATCAAGCTGGATGGAAGGAGGAGGAATTGGGCAACCCAGAGGGTGGTGGGAAGGTGAACCCGGGTGGGACGGAGGTGTAGGGCAGTGAAACAGAGTTACAGATCTGGGCAAGGAAAGCGTTCGGCGCTGGGAGGGAGGAGATGGGAGGGAGAGGTGATCTTTGCTCACACGTGGGCCAGCCAGCACGACAACAGGGCCCTGGGAGAAAGGACAAGCGGTTTCAGCACAACTCCAAAGCCTGCCTGGAGTCCCTCGGTCTTTATCCTGAAACTCTTCAAGAAAGGCATTATTTTGCCATACCTGTGCAATGCCCAGCACAAAGGGGTGGGAGAAACAGATTTTTCCATCTCAGCTACAGTCAAAGCAAAGCAAGACGTGGGGTGGGCAGGAGGGTTATGGCTGTTCCGGATGCTAGTAGTTTCGTTTGAGAAAGTATTCCCACTCCAGAGGGAATCTGTATTCCCCACAGCTGAGGAGTTAGTGTTGCCAGATGCAGCCTGCACAAGCGGTCTCCGATGGACGATGCTACTTGAGGCCACAAGCTAGAAGAAGGGGTGACAGGCAGGGTACAGCAGGCTGCTGACTCTAGTAGGTCATAGAATCATAGAATCATCGTATGATTTGGGTTGGAAGGGACCTCTGAAGGTCATCTAGTCCAACCCCCCTGCCGTGGGCAGGGACATCTTCCACTAGATCAGGTTGCTCAGAGCCCCGTCCAACCTGACCTGGAATGTTTCCAGGGATGGGGCATCCACCACCTCTCTGGACAACCTGGTCCGGTGTTTCACCACACTCAGCGCAACAAATTTCTTCCTTATACCTAGTCTGAATCTCCCCTCTTTTAGTTTAAAACCATTACCCCTTGTCCCATCGAAGGTCAGGGCTCGGTATTTTTGGGGATGGGCAAGCAAAGACGGGCTTAAATAGCCGGCAGCGTACCCTGAACAGACCCAGCCAGACCTGGCCACCGTGGGCAGCCATGTCTGCCACCTGGCATCCTTGTAATTGAACATCAAAACTATCTACCTCTCCAAACAGCACCTGCCTTGCGAGGAAAGATGCCATCCCCATACTCAGCGATTTTATCAGAGGATCTTCCAAAAGCTCGGGGAGATTAAGCCTACCCTCACGGGCTAGACGCGCGGAGGCAAGGCTGCGTCTGAGGTCCCACATGAAAGCACTTGCTGAGCTGGGAGTTCCTGTTCCCATCCTGCGTGGCCATGAGATCACCCAGCCGCAGTTTCTGTGCGCCAGCTGTAAGGAAGCAGAACTAGCTGCGAGCAGAAATTGCGCTGCTGATTGCTCGCCAGTGACACCGTTCGGTTATTAACATCGTAAGAGGCATCGTTGAAGAGGATACAAATATATTAAGTAATGAACCGCCTGATTTGCAGCTTGCAAGCCATTAAAGCATGAAACAAAGCGCACAGAGCAGCGATGCGGACGTCTCAGTACGTTGCCCATATGCAGCTGGACCTTAGAAACTGAGCACTAACTCACTGTTCAGTTTGAACCTTCTCCTTTACAGGAGAAATCATCTCTGCTAGGAGCTCCGCGGACCAGTGGGACAACCCATGGTTGCAGCATGAATCATGCTGCCTTATTAGGGAGATCTTATCCGGGGAACTCATTTAAAACCATGCCACTCTCTAAACCCATGTATTTCAGAGCACAAGAAATTATTTCTCTAATGTACCTTTCCGGAGGGAACATCTAAGTTGCCCCTAACAAGGAGAAACACCTTTCACAGATGTTTATACCTCTTCTTCCTATGATTGTTTTATGGAGGAGCAAACCCGCTCTCTAAGACTTGGTGCACAGACCCCTGAGCAATCTAGCTAGAGGAGCCATCCATAAAATACCTCTACACGACAGAAATAAAGAGCTGCGGGACAAGGGCTCCGCTCTCTGCTCTTCCCCAGCGCTGGGAGACTATCAGGGTATCTGAACTTGCAATTTTATTGCACCGACCCATCACCGAGCTCAGTTGCACGCGCCTGTGATGTGCTGGCAGAGCCAGCCTTGCTTTTACCTTTCCGTTTCTTCTTTCACTACGGCATACTGGGTTGACTGACGGCTCGATCTCTGCTCCTGCACCTTCTCGTTGCCCTCCAGCTCCTGCTCCAGGGAGGAGCTGGTGCTGCCCTCCCTGCTGACATTGCTGCTCCTCCCAGGGCTGTTCTCCGTGGAAGCCCTCGGCGACTCCGTGTTCTGCTTCAGGGTCTGCAGCTTGGCCAGAGGGATGATATCGCAGTTCTGTGGCCGGTGCCACACTGTCCTCTGCGTGGTGGCATTGTAGTAGTAGAAACGGGAAGTGTTGGGGTCGAAGAGCTCCCACCACTGGTTTTCATTCGTGCGTTTGATCCGCACCCCGGCAGGAGGGTCCCACACGCACTCCCCCGTGATGAGGTTGGCGTACATGCGCTCCCGGGTTCGAGGCTCGATGATTTCCACCCATTCCAGCCTGAAAGAGAACAGAGAGAGAGAGAGAGAGACTTCAACTAGATGATCTTTAAAGGTCCCTTCCAACCCAAACCATTCTATGATTCAATGCTTGCAGCAAGCGCTCGCAGCATCTGGGGAGGCAGGATGGAGAAGAAGAGCGGCTTGGGTGAGGACAGCAACTCTTTCTTCCTCCCCCATTGACACCGAGTCCCACAGCACTGTTTACACTAAATACAGTCTTTGCAAAGGGCTGCAAACCGCTCCCCGCTTTTCAGCTCCCGGGGGAACTCAGCAAGTCTGCAAGCCAGCTAAAATACACGCCTGGGTTACAGCACCCCAGCGTTCGCCCCGGCTCACGGCTTCCACCCCGAGCCCTCTGCGTTTTACAGTCTGAACTCTTCGGGGCACAGACCCGGCGGCTGCAGCGTGCTCGGCGTGAAATCGGCAGTGAAGGGCAGGGGGGAGGCGAGAAACCGGAGGGACAGAGCCCAGCCAGAGGCACCAACCTGGCAATGAACTTACTTCTTCTGCAAGACCACCCCGCAGCTCTGCGCTGCTGCCCAGACAACCAAGCCCGGCAGCATTTGTCCATGCAAGACTTGCAGACGATGGCTTCAACCCTCTTCAGCCCAGCTGGAGCAGCGCTGCTCCCCGGCATGAACCCCGGTGTGCCGGCGCCGGGCTCCTGCACGGCTCTGCCAACACCCCTTCCCTCCGTCTCGATTTCAACACCGGGCAAAGGCGCCAGCTCTCCGGTGTGCGCGTCCCACCTCCGGCACCTCCCCCAAACCACCCGCCCTGTCACACCTCGACTCGGTGATAACCACAGGCTGCATCAACACCGAAACTCAACAGCGGGAGGGATGGAGCCAGAAAGGGCTGAACAGACCCGACCGTGCCCTGGGCTCCACGCGGACTGGAGGAAAGATTGCCCTGCAGCCTGTGGGCAGGACCCAAGAGGTGCGGGCATTTCCCTGCAGCCCTTGGAGAGGACTACGCCAGAGAAGGTACCCACACTGCAGGCCATAGGGGACCCCACACTGGAGCACACGGATATTTCCTGAAGCAACTGTGGCCCGTGCAGAGCCCATGCGGCAGCAGGTTTATCCTGGAGGACTGCGTCCCTTGGGAGGGACCCCACGCTGGAGCAGGGGAACAGCGTGAGGAGGATGGAGCAGCAGAGAGGAGCTGCTATGGACTGAGCGCAGCCCCCATTCCCCATCTGCCTGCGCCCCTCGGCGGAGTGGGGAGAGGAATCGGGAAGGCAGGAGTGAAGTTGAGCCTGGGAAAAAAGAGTGGTGGAGGGAGAGGTGTTTTAGTTTTTTTCTTTGTTTCTCACTTCCCTAATTTTTTAATTGGCAACAAATTAAACCAGTTTTCCCTAAGTCCAGTTTGGTTTGGAAACTGGTGATCGATCTATCGAATGGAATGGAATGGAATGGAACGGAACGGAATGGAATGGAATGGAATGGAATGGATGGAATGGAATGGAATGGAAATGGAACGGTTCAATGGAATGACAAAACTTGCAGACAAACAGAAGTCAGGTGGTATAATATATGAGGTTTTACTGTGCATACTATCTCATGAAATTTTGTTTATAGAGTCATATTGCCACTGACAGTAATATTGACATGTAGACTGAAAAACAGTTGCCTGGTGGAAACAAGGCATAATGAATAATGATAAGTATCTATCACAAAGGCAGATGGTACACGTCTTGTTGAGTGCTACATGGTTCACCTTTGTGTTTGGACTTACTTAACATCTTAGTACAGGGGCACGATCACTGCCCTACTCCTGCTGGCCACACGATTTCTGATACAGGCCAGGATGCCATTGGCCTTCTTGGCCGCCTGGGCACACTGCCAGCTCATGTTCAGCCGGCTGTCGACCAACACCCCCAGGTCCTTTTCCTCCAAGGCAGCTTTCCAGCCACTCTTCCCCAAGCCTGTAGCGCTGCATGGGGTTGTTGTGGCCGAAGTGCAGGACCCGTCTAAACTCCAGTCTAAACTCCCCCGGTGCAGCTTTGAACCATTCCCACGCGTCCTGTCACTGGATCCCAGGGAGAAGAGATCAGCTACACGCCGCTCGGTGCCCTCTGTGCACCTTTATTAAATTAGAAGTCGGTCTCACGTTGGTCTCTGCATAAAGTATGGAGCTCATCACCAAAATACGGAGCAGAAAATGAGGTTTAACCTTCCTCCCACCGCCCCATCCCCTGCTGAGCTAAGGGCCAGGCACCATCAGCCCAACACGGTGACCCAGCTCACTCAGAAACACAGCAAAGGCGGGTATTGAAATCATAAAGCAGTAAACAGAGCTTAGAAATGCAAAAGAGGATTTGAAGAAGTTGTAATCCCAAAGAACGGACAATTTAACCGATTTTTCGGATCACCCCAAACACTGCAGGTGACACCTTTTGCTAATCCGGGGGATACCCGCGGCTTACAGGCAGCCGCACCTTATTCAAATTCTTTTTTTGTGTGGGCTTAAATAAAAAGATGGAAGGGATGTTCGTATTAGCTAAGATTTCTTACTTGGAATTTGTCCTCATCTGCATTTACAAGTCTGTTAAGAAAGGTACAGGAACAAATAAGGAAAAAGAAAAAGCCCCCAGCGTGCTAAGCGAAGCTTATCAAACTAGGTGGCATTTAAAACTGACACATTCAGTGAGTCAGACAAGTGAGGGGTCGCATCTCGCCGCCTTTTACCGGGAGCGAGTCCCCTGTGGGATTTTCAGAAATGCCCAATTTGCTCAAGCACTTGCAAGAAAAAAAGTCCTCGGGGGGTCACTTACCTGCCCCCGGGCAGCCGGAGATGCTGGCAGCCTGGCCCCAAGCCCTCCGGCTGCTCCAGCTCGTCTTCTGACCCAATTGAAACCGCCGGATAGAAAAAAAGGAGGG